TATATATATATATATATATATATAGGGAAAAATGTCTGTCATTTTAAAGGATATAAAGTTGTGTCATTTTAAGAGAGAAAGATAGAGATAGATAAAGGGGAGAGAGAGTGGACAAAAAAAATAAAGATGCGCGTCTCACCTCTTTGTGAGAGTAAAATGACACAAGTTGTGTCATTTCACTATATTGTCAAACTTTTTTTTTACAAACTTACAAATTACAGTATGTCTGACGGGTAAGACATTACTACTAAGGCATAGTGTATTTGGTAAGAGTTTGTAAATATAACATTATATATATATATATATATATATATATATATATATATATATATATATATTGTTTGCATATAATTAAGATTGTAGATAGATCGTGTTTATATATATATATATATAGGGTTTACTTTTTCTGCTGTTATTGTAAATAAATTATCTGTAGTAAGTCCAATACGACGCCGTTTTGCGACGAAAATTATGGTATTTTTGTAATTTTAATTTATTTCAGGTTATTATAGTCTTTATATTTATAATTTTTCAATATCATTTTGGAAGTTAATGCAGATAACTTATCTGCAGTAACTGCAGATATAAATTATCTGCATTAACTGCAGAAATATTTTTCCCATATATATATATATATATATATATATATATATATAGAAACACACACGATCTATCTTCAATCTTAATTATATGCAAACAATGTGGTGTTAGAGAAATATAATTAAAATCATTGAATGTTCATCACTTACAAGTTACAAGCTTAAGCTTTTGAGTTTAATTAGTTATTTACGTGATATCAGAGCTTCTGTGATCCAGTGATCACGGGTTCGATATCTCACCTCCCTCTACTAAATTAATAAATAATTAAGTATTGTGCAATTTTTTAGCTTAGGATAGTGAGACATGTTAAAGAAATATAAAAATTATTAAAAAATTCTTCACTGAGTAACTTAACTTTTGGATTAAAATTGTTCTTTATACAAGACACTCTTGTTGAAATATCTATTACCAAAATTAAGTATTTGGTTGATCTAAAGTACATCATATATACAAATATTGAAACTGTCATTTTACTATCATCAAACTTATTAATTGGGGACAAAAATCACGCACTCTGAAGATCCCGCTTATATATACCATAACGCAGAAACGATAGCTAGAGAGTTCGATCTATGTTCCGCTCAATGATATCTTATATAACAAATTACGGTCCGTGAATTAATTTTATGGGAAGACCATAAAGCACATAATGTATATACTAATCCTTCAATCATCTCACCTAGGTTATCAGCGTGGTTGATGACGTAATGTTTTTTGGACTTTCTAGTTTCTACCACTCTGCCTCTTAATTACCAATCACTATCAGAGTACATCAAGGAAAATGCGCGTATGGCTCCCCATCACTGTCGTAAACTAACTATAAGTGGTTTTTTAAACTATATTGTGTTTGTCCACCAAAAAAATATATTTTGTTGCGTATCTTCCGTATCTTGTTTCGCTGTGTTTCTTTTTTTCTTTTCTCTCTTTCTTTCCAATAACTGTCATGGTGCCGTAGGAGGCGAAAAGGATGCAATAAAATAGTGGAAGCATTTCCACAACTATCTTCTATCTCCTTTTTATAAAACCTAAAAAGGAAGGATCGCAAATTTATATTGGACAAAAGCAAGCAATCTTATAAATGGTCTTGTCTTAGAATTCTTTCCATTGATCATGTTACTTATGATTATAACATAATTCGTAGATCAATAAATACGGAAAATAATATTTTCCTCAAGAAATTTATTTTTTAACAGTTATTTGTACATTATTTTTATTATAATATTTAATTATTTAACAATAAAAAATACACATTTTAATATTTTTTACAAATAAAGATATAAAAATAATGTAACAATTGCAAAGTACAAATAACCTACGTATTTTTCTCCAATGCAGTAACTCATAGTAGTTTGTAATGTACTAATAAATTTCGTGTTCCTATTTGATTATATGCCTATACACGTCCTTCTTTTTTAAACGTGTATATGAAGAACCATCGTTGATGTGACTATTTTCTTATATTCAACCGTACAAAATAATAAAGAGAAATATGTTTTTTTTTAGGGTAATATTTTTCTTATGTTACATAAAAGAAGTATTATCTCATACACTCACATTTTTTAAATTGGTCTCACAAGAATTTTTTTCTCTCACCTCTAACTTTTTTTTCTCTCTTATTTATTGTTTGAGTAGGAGATAATACTTTTCTTATGCAATATAAGAAAAATATTTTTTTTTTCTATGGGGGTAATTAAGTGATACAAATTATTCCACTAACAATAATATAAAAACAAGTAAAACATTGGTAATGTCGTGCTATATATATGTATAGATAAATTAAAATGACGCACAGAATTAATAATTTTTTTCCGGTTAAAGCTCTCTCATTAATATCATAGTAGTATCTTAATTCTTACGTTAACCAAATTGAGACATGAGGTGGAGCTTGTGATGCGTGACTCTTGAGACAATCGCTTCTTGTGCAATCCAATCAGCATATTGGTTACCTTCCCGGTGTGTGAGAGAGACATTAATATCCCAATCTCCCTAGATCCACTCAAGAATATGCAGCCTTATGTGAGGTTTTCTAGCTTCATCACCTCTCTCGGTGAGCATGAAAAATAGCTCCATTTCTCCTTGGAGGAAGTTTTTCTAATCAGATGACTATTTCAACCAGCAGGAACTATTTCAACTTAATCAATGATATCAAATTTAAGCCTTAAATATGTTAAAACTAGTTAGGAAGAATTTTGTGGCCATTGTAGTTCTATCTCACTCATTGACTTCTAAATTTATAATTTAAAAGATGAAGTTTTAGATAAATATGTAAGAAGAGGTTATACTAACAATATTTTTTTTCTTATATTTTGTTATAATTATTTCTGTTATCGTCAAAACAAAATTAAATCAACGGTTATAAAATGACACTAAATTAGAGTCGTTGATTTGATTTTGATCCAAAAATTAAAAAATTGGTTATAAAAAAAAAATAGATTATAAATATAACCTCCCTCAAATATGTATCATTTCAGTTATTTATCACACATTTAAAAATTTGTTATAGCAAATACTTATTTGAATAAATCTTACTTTCATGAGGTTTACCAAAAAAAAAAATCCTACTTTCATGAGAGATTCGCTTAATTAATTAAAGTAATTAATATTTTTCCTATAAGATATAAATTATTTTATTTTCCATATGGAAATAGATATGATTCATTTTTTTCTCTTTCTCTCTCCTCTTCTCATATAATTTCACGTACTCACTTTCATGTGTACGGAAGAAACATTAAATCTTTAACTAAGTTATATTTATTTTTCTTTATTTTTTTAAATTATGTAAATATAAAAAATTTTATTTTAAATTTTATAAAAAAAAATATTATTTCAAATTTTATTAGAAATCTGATTGTGAGCCAAAAATGAAAAAATAATTTTAAACACCCTAATATAGATCAGACAAAACCTTTATTCATATTATACCCTATCTATTCTATTTTTTAATTCAATATTTTTCTTCTTTTTATTTTTCAGTATTCTCTAGAATATTTTTCTTTTTCTCTATTTTAGTATATTATATTCTAGAAAAGATGGCAGGATAATTAATATATACATATATATATATATATATCTATATATATATATATATATATATATATATATATATATATAAATGGGCAGAATTTTTTGACATTAAATCTTAACGGATAATTTTCGTCAATCTGACAGTTATAAAATTTATTAAGTCATATTTATTAATTAGTTATTAATTTTCAATAATTTATAAACATTTTTTAGTTTGACACTAGTTTCAAATCTCTTGTCCTTAACTATTAGATTTGCAAAAATCAATAATTAAGATTTGATATAAAATTTATTATTCTTATACTAGTTATGATCTATAATATGGAAAACGATCCAGTTACCACCAAAAAAGTTTACAACTCTTACAACCAATTTAATCACTGTTGATTTCCGTCAATCTAATAGTTATAATTTATTAGAAATTAATAAATGTGACACAATAAATATTATTAATTTATAACCGTTAGATTGACGAAAATCAACGGTGATTAAATTAGTTGTAAGAGTTATAAACTTTTTTGGTAGTAAGTGAATATGTTCCCCAATAATATATGTATTATTTGCTTAAAGATGTTACTCAAGTTTTTATTCATTAGTGTCGTGAATCTCCCAACAACAAAACCACCAGCAAGGATCTCGATAGGTTGACCCAAAGCGCAGCATGTGCCTTGTCTTGTGTGATATTTTTAACCAAAAGTCCTTTTAAATGTATTAAAATCGACGCAGTACGTACGCGCATCCAGAAAAATAATGTAGATATTGACATCGACCCTTTTCCTAAAAATATATATGCCGAGCGTGGTTGTAACTTAATTGAAATATTAAAAACGCAATTCAACAACGCACTGACATCATCAATCAAATAAAATGGGCAAAGAGTGCCCAATCAGATTCATTCTCGCTACGTAATGCCAACGCCAAACCACACTCAGCATTTATATGCAACATCCTCGAAGGAGCGTGAGCACCACGAGAAACATATGCAAACCCGAACAAGGTTGGAACACCACATATTAAAAACTCTCTATTGTTTCTTAAATACGAGGTTTGAGCTTTCCATATATAGCGTAGACTTTGCCCCACGAGCACATCTTCCCTTTCTCCACCAATCCTCAACTTTTTCCTACATAGACCTTCTACATTATTACAAGTATATACCTACTCCTCTAACATATTTTTCTAGTCTTTGCTTCTTACACTTTTCCCTTTTGTGATGACTGCCTAAAGTGTTTCCCTTTTAGTTAGTTTGATTTTTTTTTAATCTTAGATGTTTGATTATTTGTTTATATCATTTTAGCACCACGAATTGATTGTTGTTTTGATGATCTAGGAGCCAAGCAAGGTTTGAGAGAATTAAAGCCCCACAATTCTTTAAGATGGGCAGAGGGAAGACTGTGATCAAAAGGATTGACAATACCACAAACAGGCAAGTGACTTTTTCAAAAAGAAGAAATGGGCTCCTCAAAAAGGCTAGGGAGCTCTCTATCCTTTGTGATGCTGAAATTGGACTTATAATCTTCTCTAGTACTGGCAAACTTTATGATTTTGCAAGCTCAAGGTTTGTAATTCATCTCTTAATTTAATTTGTTGTCTTTTTCCCCCCTCAATTTCTTAATTATCTGAAATATATGTAAAATTGCACGTAGCGTTTATAATCTTCATTATGGATTAAATTCTTGGTTTAGACAAACACAGGATTTATTAAAACCTTCTAAAATGATGATGGAGTGTACCCAAAAATGAAGATAATGGAATAGGTGTGTAATTATACATGCATTTACATTGAACAAACGTCGTGTCTTAAAATGAGAGATCAGTCTAATCTCACATTAGGAAATGCAAATGAATTTTAGTTTGACTAACAAATTAAGACAATGAACCAAAACACTCAGTATCTAATCAATAATTGCCCTTTTTCAATTGTGTCATATGCCTCATAATAGGTTAAATTTTATGAAATTAATTTAGTGATTAATGTAAAACTAGAAACGAGTAATATACTGTACAGAACCGTTACGTTTCTAAATGGCTTGATGTGTTGCAAAAAAATATATTGATTGACAATAAGCAAATACACAGGTAAATTTAGTGGTGAACAAAGAGTTGTGAGTTTTGCGTATATAAATTTTTATAACATCATGAATATATCTATCCTCATTAATAAAGTATCATTGTCAAACGGGTTGAAGCTTTTCCTCATTTTGAACGTACATGAATCAACTAGTGGGAAGTTGTTTTATCTTAATTTGTGGTCTTGAATTCGAGTCTTGGACATAAAGTGTTAAAATTTGATAAGGAGAATTTTGCCACCCTTTTGTCCATTGTGACCAAATACCATATAGTTTATACCAAAAAATAAAGAGACTTATGAGTTACACCAAATTCACATATGGGACTAATGCCAAAGCAGTAACCAATTGGCTAAACAGAAAGAAGAACGAAACAAAGATTGTGAGAAAATACTATTTCTCTTTTCTTTACCAAAAAACAACGGAATAACAATAGGGTTCTCTAAGCCTTAAATAGGCAAAAATAACATAACAAAAAAAGTAAATAACTATAATCATGCGCAATCAAAGGAGATAATGCACAATCAGCGCACACTCAAACATAATCTAAAATAACAAAAGGAAATAACTAGAAATTATTAAAAATCCCTAAATAAAGAAATAACTTATGGAAAAGCCCAATCCAAGCGAGTCAGCTTGGGTGCATCATCCTCCCCTGCCAAAAGAGGATTCGTCCTCGAATCTAACGGGTCTTCATTGTTACTCTCGAACACCAGGTCCTCCTCTTCATTTTGATAAGGGGACAAGTCTGCTACATTGAAAGTTCCAGAAACATTGTACTTCCCAGGCAATGCAATCTTGTAAGCATTGTCGTTGATCTTCCCGAGCACTCTGAAGGGGCCATCAGCTCTAGCTGAAGTTTGCCAAACCTGTTAGCCGAAAAACGTTCCTTCCTAAGGTGAATCCACACCAAATCACCTTCCTTGAAAATAACTCGCTTCCTATGCTTGTCAGCTTGTTGCTTGTATTTCATGTTCTGCTTTTGAATATGGTCATGGACCCGCAAATGTAACTCCTTAATACGATTGGCGTGATCCTCAGCATCTTCACTGAAATAGTTACGTACTGGTAATGGTGCTAAGTCCATAGGGGTAGTTGGATTAAGCCCATAAATAACTTCAAAGAGGCTCTTGCCTGTAGTGTGACTCTGTGATCTATTGTAAGCAAATTCTGTTTGCGATAACACTAAGTCCCACTGCTTGGGATTCTCTCCAATCAAGCTCCGCAACAAATTGCCCAAGCTTCTATTCACAACTTCGGTCTGACCATCAGTTTGGGGGTGGTGAGATGAATTGAATTGTAGCTTTGTCCCCATCAGCCTCCAAAGAGTGCGCCAGAAATGGCTTACAAACTTCACATCACGATCAGAAGTGATGGTCTTAGGTACACCATAGAGTTTCACAACTTCCTGCAAAAACAAATGAGCCACCTGCGAAGCATCAAAAGTCTTGTTACATGGGATAAAATGAGCTATCTTTGAGAACCTATCCACTACTACCACGATAGAATCCTTATTGCGCTGGGTTCTTGGAAGGCCTAACACAAAGTCAAGGCCGATATCTTCCCATGGTGCAGTCGGAATAAGTAGAGGTAAGTATAAGCCAGCATTAGTGCCCTTGGTTTTAACAATGTGACAAACTCTGCACCTCTCCACAAGTCTAGCAATAGCACGCTCTATTCGGGGCCAATAGAAGTGTTCGCAGATTAAAGATGTTGTCTTGTCAACACCAAAGTGCCCTGCTAACCCTCTTGAATGTCCCTCGAAGATGATCGCTTCCCGTAGTGAAAAATGAGGAATACAAAGTCTGTTGTCCTTAAAAAAAATCCATCAACTATAAAAAAACTGCATGTAAGGCCCTGCCTTGCATTTCTCCCAAATATCCCTAAAATCAGTATCATCGACATACAACTCCTTGAAGGAATCGAAACCAACAACCTTCACCTGCATAGTGGATAATAATGAGTGCTTCCTGCTAAGTGCATCTGCAACCTTGTTCAGTGCTCCTGCCTTATGTTGAATAACAAAGTTGAAAGCTTGAAGGAACTCCACCCATTTAGCGTGTCGGGTATTCAGTTTGTGTTGACCATTGATATATTTCAAGGCTTCATGATCAGAAAACAAGATAAACTCCTTAGAGTTTAGATAGTGTCTTCAATGCTCCAAGCTCCGAACAATTGCATAAAATTCTTTATCATAAGTAGAATATTTCCTTTTGGCTTCATTCAACTTCTCACTGAAGAATGCTACCGGTTTATTCTTTGACTGAGTACACCCCCTATGCCAACTCCAGAAACATCACAATGCACTTCAAAAACATCAAAAAAATCAGGTAGCATCAGAACAGGGGCTTCAGTTACCTTCCGCTTTAGTAATTGGAATGTTGTGTCTGCCTCCTTAGTCCACTCAAACTTGATTCCTTTCAGACAATCTGTAATAGGAGCAATAATAGTGCTGAAATTTTGAATGAACCTCTATAGAAAGAGGCTAGATGTTGCGTATTATCGGCAAGTGTACTGATCGTACCAAGTAATAAAATGATGAGTAGAGTATCGTCTCCACGAGGATTGAAGCACCGAAGTTATTATAACTATCCCTCTCTTGTTGGATTAATCAAAATAGTTTAATAACAATTGTGGTTTGTGAAATGAATAACAACAATTCAGGAAAATGTAAATGATTCAAAAGTTCTTTAGAATTCAAGAACAAAAGATTGAAGGTTGAGAAAATATTACGGTAAAGAGAAATAAACACTTTTACGATCCCCACCTTGCAACTTGGATTACATTTATGTTTACTTATTCAATTGATCAAACTATTCATCATCTTTTATATGATTAGTTAAGCCCTAATTCCTTAGTGACTTTCACCTTATTAACTCTATTAGAATCATAATCCCTTAGAAATCCCTTTTCAAGTTAACCCTTGGAATCAATGAATCTTTAACGTTTGCGGTTTATGTAGCCTATCCCTAGTGCATACATGAACAGTTGTCTTACCCTTTGTCCAGAATTAGAATTCTAATATCCCTATTGAAAATCCTAACCCTCTCAATCCTAATAGATTGATCAGTTCCAAAAGAATTATATAATGAAGAACAAGGCAAGATAAATTCAATTTAAATAAATAGACATAAACTTCAACCAAACTACAAGGGGTTCACATCAAGGGTTATGACCCTTACTACAATAATGGAACTAGCCAGACATGTTCATGTCTGACAAAATAATCACAAAAGAAAATAAAATTAAGAACCTAAAGAAGAGAAAGAAGATGAAGATCTTCTGCCTTGATCGATTGAATTTCTGAAACTCCGAGAAGCTCCCAAGAATTCTCCTTCTCTTTGTTGTTTTTCTCTTTTTTGTTGTCAAAAAGTCCTCCTTCCTTTGTTTCTCATCCTTTTATTAGGTTTTGAGAAAACCTAATTTCAATTGCTCTCCAATTGGGCCTCTTTTTTGAGTAATTCGCATTAGATTGGAGTTAAAAAATATCGCCCGCGCACTTTGTGCCAGGTCTGGCGCATCGTGCTTGGGAAAACAGAAGGGAAACTGTGAAATGGCGCACCGTGCTCCAGGTCCCGCGCACCGTGCGCCGGGATACAGGGGCGAAACTCATAAAATGGTGCACCGTGCGCCAGTCCCCCCGCTGGAAAATTTGACTTCTCTGTTTTTGCTCCCTTTTGTTGCGTTTCTTGCTATTAAAACACATAACTTGAGTGAGAGAATGATTGAGAAGGAATAATCAATATTTCTTGCATTTATGACTTATTTTCACACGTTTATGATTAATTCCTTGCTTCTTTTAAGTTAGAAAGCATCATATGCTAGACGCACATCACTAGACCATGAAAGCTTCGGATGTCATGTATGCTCTTAGGCGTCTCCCATCCGGTAATAGCATCAACCTTTGCTGGATCCATCCTAATACCATCAATAGAAATAATATACCCCAAAAATGTCACAAAATTGGTGAAGAAATGACATTTCTTCAGATTGGCATACAACTTATGTTCCCTTAAGGCCTCAAACACTTTCCTCAGATGTAGTAAGTGATGCTCAACAGAGGAGCTATATATCAAGATATCATCAAAATAAACTACAACAAAAGAAGCAATGAAAGGTCGAAAAACCTGATTCATCAACCGCATGAATGTGCTTGGCGCGTTAGATAAACCAAATGGCATAACATCCACTCATATAACCCATCCCTTGTCTTGAAGGCGGTCTTCCACTCATCACCAGGTCGCATTCTGATTTGATGATAACCGCTTCGCAAGTCTATCTTTGAGAAGACCATTGCCCCATGAAGTTGATCAATTAAGTCATCAAAGAGAAGTATGGGAAAACGATACTTGATAGTGATCTGATTGACAGCCCTACTATCAACGCCCATCCTCCAGGTTCCGTCTTTCTTAGGGACTAACAAGGAAGGTACTACACAGGGACTCATGCTCTCCCTTACTACACCCTTCTTCAGTAGCTCCTGCACCTGTTTGTGTAACTCCTCATGCTCCTTAAGGCTCATCTTATATGTTGTTTTGTTAGGAATAACAGCTCTCGGCACAAAATCAATGCAATGTTGGATGTCTCTCATAGGTGGCAATCCCGGTGGCATTTCCTCATGAACCACATCAGCAAAGTCTTCTAACAATGGCTTAACCTGCAAAGGAATGTCAGAAACACTACAATTCTCTTCCATCACCACACAAGCAAATACCTCAACGGCATTAGCAACTTCTTCTTGGAAATCTGCTCTGGATAGCATTGTATTATTTGCCTCGTTCCTCAAATCAGAAGGCCCCAAAGTAATTGTCAACTCGTCCTTCTTGAAAGTATAAGTGTTTTTGAAGCCATAATGTCGCGTCTTCCTATCAAATTGCCATGGCCTCCTTAACAAGATATGACATGCATCCATCAGAATGACATCGCACCACGCCTCATCAGTATATTTCTTGCCAATAGAAAACTGCATGAGGCACTTCTTGTTCACCTTCACCTCACTTCCTTTCTTCAGCCAAGAAAGCTTGTAAGGTTGTGGGTGTTCCTTAGTTTTCAATCCTAACTTCTCGACCATGATATTAGAGACAACATTCTCATATCTTGCCCCATCAATGGTCATACTACACACCTTACCACCGCTGGTGCACTTTGAGTGAAATATATTGTGTCGGAGCCACAACTCATCATTAGCTACATCAACACTCAGAACCCTCCGAACAACTAAGGATTCTCCATCATCACCATAGATAATCTCACCTTCTTCAGACCATCCATCCACCTGATCTTCTTCATACTCATCATAGGTGGGGCCTATATCATCAGCTGTCGTATCGACAAGAGTAACATACTGCCGGTTTGGATAATCAGCAGCGAAGTGTCCTAACCCTTGGCATTTGAAGCACCTCTTTGCCGTAGTTCCTGTCTTGCTAGCTCCACTGTTGGTCGTTACCCCTTTGCTTACTAGTTTCGGGTTAGAAGGATCTTTCCCCACACTAGCGTTGGTTGTTGAGCTTGATGACTTTCCTTTGTCAGAAAATCTGGGTTAGAATTTTGAAGTATTTCTTTTTCTCTTACACTGCTCCTCTACCTTCAAAGCTAGTCGATATACGTCCTCATATGACCAATATTGTTGCAGGTATACAACATCTGAGATCTCAGTCCGCAGTCCTCCTTGGTAACGAGCGAACAATTGCTCATCCTCCTCTGCAATATCACAACGCATTCGCAGACGCTCAAACTCTGTTGTATATTGTTCAACTGATAGGTCTCTCTGCTTGAGATTATGGTATTCAACAAATGCCTCCTGCCGGTAGTGAATTGGTAAGAATTTTTGTTGCAACAGTTTCTTCATCTTATCCCAACTCTTGATCTTTGACTTCCCTTCTTTGTTTCGCTGCTTCTTAATATGTTCCCACCAAATTGAGGCATGCTTCCTCAGTTTGATAGCGACCAGTTTGACCTTCTGGTCTTTTGTCAAGTTTATGATATCAAAGACTCTTTCGACGGTGTGTAACTAGTCGATGCACTCATCTGGATGAGTGGTGCCCTCGAATTTCGGGATCTCAATCTACACCCTAATATTGGCAAAAAAAAAGATTGATTTCCAGGTTGACTTCGTCCTCGTCGCTTCTGGTTCCAGTCCAGAATGGGTTTTCGCTCATTTTCTCCTCATGAGATGATATTTCAGATTCCCTTCCTTCATCTAACTCGTCCAACTGTGTTTGGGCAATTCGTTGTTCGAGCTCCTGAATTCATTTACTTTGTTCTGCCATTATAGTAGCCATTGCTACCATTGTGGCGTCTCGCACGTCGATGTGTGGTTGTTCGCCGTCGCCATAAAAGGTGTTACCACGCCCTCTACCGCCGTCGTCGTCTCGACCCCGTCGTCCACGACCTCGACCTCGACCGCCATTGTTCTGTTCAGCCATTTAAATGACAACCAGAGCTCTAATTATCAAATAATGCCAAAGCAGTAACCAATTGGCTAAACAGAAAGAAGAACGAAGCAAGGATTGTGAGAAAATACTATTTCTCTTTTCTTTAACTTTATTTAACCAAAAAACAACTGAATAACAATAGGGTTCTCCAAGCCTTAAATAGGCAAAAATAAAATAACAAAAAAAAGTAAATAACTATAATCATTGCGCAATCAATGGAGATAACGCACAATTAACGCACACTCAAACCTAATCTAAAATAACAAAAGAAAATAACTAGTAATTATTAAAAATCTCTAAATAAAGAAATAACTTATGGAAAAGTCCAATGCAAGCGAGTTAGCTTGGTGTACGAGGGACATAGTGCTGACAGCTTTGTGAGAGGTCATGCATAAATTATCTACTGCTTCTATCAGCAAAATAAAGAAAGAAAGAAAGAAGCCGTGTGTATATTTCATTGTGCAACTTTCCTTCAAGTGTACGAGATGCTTTCTTCCCACATAAATAAGGGACTGCATGTGTGACCGTATTTGAATTAACTTATGTTTAGCCTAAAAATATTGTATTTTCAACTTCCTAAAAAAGTTTTTTCTTTAAAAAATACTTTGGGTTTCCAAACTTCCAGTTGTGCTGGAAACTTAGTCAAGAATCTTAAAAATTATCACCGTAGAAAAAGGAAAACAGTATTATGTGACGCTAGATAAACAATAATGTTATCCTCGTAGGTTCCATGTGATTTGCTTCATAATTCTAAAATTTGGACATATTTTAAATAATTGGGCGATGCTTAGTTTTTTTTTTTTTTTAATTTTCAGTTGATAGGCTGTTACTAATAATTAAAAAGTATGGGGTTTTACTAATAATTAAAAAGATATTAATTACATTGTATTCAATTGTATTCTGATTTAAAAATTTAGCAAGAGAAATAAAGGAAACAACAAAATCTTGTGTTTTCACAATTTTCTTTTATAATATCTTAAAAATAAAAAATAATGTGAACACAATTTATAATTATAAACAAAAATATATTAACTAAAAAAATTAAAAAAAAAAAAAAAAAACCAAACGATACCTTAGTTATTTCCTTCTGTTTCAGTAGGATTTTGCGTTTTATTTGGCAATGGTTTATTATATAAAATTTCATTTCATTTCCAATAGTTTGATTGAAAACAAAACTCCTCCTTACTATATATATAGGAACTGCATCGGGAACTACTTTTGAATTAAGAATAGATTGGATTTATCAGTGCCTTAATTAGTGGCAGTTATTTGATATACAATGATGCTGACTATGATCATGTCGTGAATAATCAGTAGCATGAAATCCATCATTGAACGCTATAATGGACAAAAGGGTGAACGAAATCTGCTCGTGGATCCTGCTTCAGAAATCAAGGTAAAACACTTGCAAATTCAATTCTTTACCAATCTTTTCTGCAATATATTCGATTGACTTATCTAAAGCGTGAACGAGACATTTTGAATGTAAATGTTAAATCTGGATTTTTTCAATAGTGTATACTTGCTTGGGGAGTTATTAACAACTAATCCAGTTTGGGTTTGAGACTCTTCACCTTAAAATATACACCCTTCAATGAGGTGTCTCTTATTCAATTTTAATTTTTTTCAAATCTATAAATTTACACTTCATATATTTTAGTATAATATAGTATTTGCAAAAAAAAAAAAAAAAATTGGGTGAAAATATAGTATTAAATAGTTGTACCTTTGTTTATTTTTGTTGAAAAAAATATAAATTTATTATAATAGATGAGAGAGACACTTATAATAATGTTCGGAAAATAGATCAATCAGTTCCTCTTATTTTGGGTAGATATCTTTATTTTTAAGCATTTTAGGGTGGATATTAATTAATTTGTGCAAAGAATATTCCATTTGAAGCTCGTCCTGCGCATTGTTATTATTATTTCTATGTCATGCTGGATAACTTTAATGTTTGTCTTCGGATTTGCTAGTTTTGGCAGAGGGAGGCAGCAAGTTTAAGAGAACAACTGCAGTATGTGCACCAATATAATAGGTACTTTCAATTAAATTAACAAAGTTTATATATTAGAATAACAAGTAGTTTATATACGATATTAGTTACACTTTCAATTTTAATTATTAATTTTATTTGTATTTACGGATTCACGTGACTAATCAATCAATTAAAGATATTTTATTAAGATAGGAGGTAAGATTTATAACTTTTACACCACTATAAATTCATCGTGTCTTCTAGAGATACTCTAAATTCCAATTTGTTCGTTTATAACTTCATTCAATTTTCAATGCATTGTTAAGATTGGCAAAGAGAGATGTATCTCCAGCCGGATTTATTTCAAGGCATTCAAGTAAGGGGATTTCTCGCAAGGAAATGCTCACGATTTCCAGCACTATTTAGGAATTCTTTAGAATTTAGAAACTTCAGAGGAAAATATGTATGTCAAAGAAACTAGAATCAACCAAACGATGGTAGCTCAACTGAGCAGGTGGGGTGAGAATATGTGTTCGATCCTCTCCATACTCCAATATCATCTTTGGGAGGGATTTAAAACCTTAATCGTGGACCAGTCCCAATTAGGATTGTCTCCCGAGGAGGATACTTGTGGTTTATCCACACACAAAAAACTAAAGAAAACTCCAGTAATCAGATACAACAAATAAACAAAGAGAAAAATATTTGTCCATTTAAAGAATATAATTTTGTGTCCTTTTATATCCTAACCATTGATTTTCGTCAATCAATAGTTATAATTTATTGTGTTAAATTTATTAATCAATTAGTAATTCACAATAAATTATAACCATTGATTTACGAAAATCAACGGTTATGATCTAAAATAACGCAAAGTTATATTTTTTTATAAGGATAAACATTTTTTGGATCAACATATGGAATAATTCTAAGAACAAACCATGAAAATGATTAAAACCCCTCCACAATTAATTCACATTCCAGTAAGTAATGGCAACTTAAATTCAATTGAGTTTATGAAAAATTATTGCTCATCATGATTATTATTACAACTTACTGCAAGATTAAAATTAAAACGCAGTCATATTCGAAGGCTGCAATATGAGATGTGGCCAAAAAGAAAAGAAAATTATGAAGGCTTCGGATTTTAGAACCAAACGGGCATGGAAGCAAAGCTACATTGACTAACCCCAAATTCAAACAAAGGAATTCTACTTAGTTGTAAAATAAACAAAATAAATTATAGGCGGAATTAAAAGTGAGGGAAAGCATACATATTATTTGAACTAGTGAGAAAGTAGAAAATGATGAATGTGTCTCGAAGTGGATAAAGTATCTCAATCCGACGATAACCGAAGAAATGATTGTATTGACCAAGGCTCGGTGAAGTCACCGTGGTACTAGCCATGGGCAACTTGAGGATCAAGGAGGAGATGAGTAGGGCACGGTTATGATTGGTGTGCAATGAATTTGGCAGAATTTCTGTTAGGTGAGCAATGGAAAAGAAGATGCCTCATCTGAAGGCAAGATTTACTATTTATAGTGATGAGAAAGTTTGTTTTAAGCGATGGAAATGTGATGCAAATCGTGGTGACCGAATCAAAAAATTGATAACTGAATAAATCGAAAACTAAACAATCAAAAAACTGGGCTTTTTCTGAATCACAGCCCACAGATTTCTAAACCCAATACCAATTATCCATCAACTAAACTCAAAAGAAAATCTAGTCACATCTCATCAATAAAATTTCATTTGTATAGAGATATCTCATTGCAAAAAAAAAATTTATATTATCAATAATTGATACTTTTGTATTTCAAAAAAAAAAATTACAAAGCCAATACATACAAATTTACACAATAATCATGAAACAAGTTTTAGGATTTTCAAAAAAACCGAAAATCGATCCAATCCAAATCGAAAAAAATTGGATTGAATCGGATCGAATTTGAAAAAAAATTCAAACCGAATGAATGATTACATGATCAAACCGAAAGTATTGAATCGAATAATTTTTGCTTCTAAAATCGATCTCATTCAGACTGCCAACACCCCTAGATGCCATAATGGTTTTCCGCCGAGTGGACCCAATGATGATATGAGATTCCTAAGGTGAAAAGGTCATAAATGCGTGGGATGCAGAGAGGGACACATGTAATGAGAATTTAAATGCCTTCAGGTGTTAAGCGTTATTGATAATGTCCGTGATCAGTTGAAATGACCGGGTAAGGTCAATCGACTAGCCAAAAACATTATTAGTTCTTATAAATTACATCTTATATGCAGGCAATTGATGGGTCGTGAATTATCTAGTTTGGGCATAAAAGATCTGCGCAATTTGGAAAACCAGATGGAAATGAGTTTAAGGAGCATCCGTACGAAAAAGGTATGAAAATCTTGATTTTCTTAGATATATATAATACTAGGGTTAAATGTTTGGATATTTAATAACGGATGAAATGTGATGGAAGGAGATGAAATGGAATAGAGTGATATGGAATGGAAGGAACTAAAATTATCATATAATTATTTGGATATTTTATGATGGAACTGAATAAAGTTTTAATCCATTATTTGATCGAGAAGTAAATGGAATGATAAGAAAATTAGTAAATAATAATTTTATTCCATCTCATACTCTCAAATTGGGGGAAGAAAAATAGAGATATTAGATGAAATGGAGTACTGGAGTAAGATGTATTTTATTAGGTTTCATTCCACTCCATTTTTAAACAATCAAAACTGATGTCATTCTATTCTATTATATTCCTCTCCGTTCCGTCCTTTTTCCATTATCGAATTATATCCTAGAATCTAGAACATAATCCTTCACATGATTATTAATTTCTTCTGCAAACAGGACCAAATTCTCAATGATGAGATTGAAAAACTTAGCCAGAAGGTAATTTCCCAGGAAACTTTACTTGATTTATAACAAATTCATTAGTACTGAACAATGTACAATTTGTTGTCAGGTTAGAACAAATGATGCACGTGAAGCGAACAGTAGCTCTTGCCTTCGATGCACCACCGGCATTGAACATGGTTCAAACACCCCTCTTCATATCATGACAATTGAGCCTCAGCTTCAAAACAGTGTGACACCAGCAAAGTCAGTGAAACTTGGGTATATCTTCTATAACCATTCGCATACAAGATAGCGTTGAATAATTAATTGTCATCAATGATAATTTCTCATTTCTACTTGATTGTTAACAGATTGAAACTAAATTAACAGAGAAAAGAGATGGATTTTCGTCATGATCTCCTCCATTATTTGCCTAGCAGTGGAATACTGCCAAAACTTATGCCAGTGAGGCCTCTACGCTCTACTATAGATACTTCATAATATTTATTAGGTTTCATTCAAAGGGATTGTTAGTTATTTCAATCACTCGAACAGAACTCTAAAAAGATATTCTCTATGCAAATGTACTTTATGTCCTGTGCTGTATGTACATTAGATGTTAATTTAGCATCTTTGGTACATCTATCTAATACCATCAGAGTCGAAATAGAGAGTGAGATAAAAATCTGAAAATTAGAATCGAATGAATTTTCCAAAACCACTTTCTACCTAATACCATCAGCCAATAACAGAAACGCAGCGTTTAGTAAATCAACAAAACGACAGGATATAAACACATAAAACGCAACACAATATCAATGCACACGCACATATCAGCAAAAATATATATATATATATATATATATATATATTTCTTTTTTCGTACATACATAACAGCAATTTTAAAGATATTTAAGAACGACTTCGTTTTGTTTACAAACTCACGGAAGTTTTATGCAAAGGAGCTGGTATTTAACTGACAAAGAAGCTGATAACTGCTTGTAACCAACTTCTAACGTCCAACGAAACTAACTGATTGAATGACGTGGCATTGTGATGACTAGTGTGACGCTTCCGTTCCATGGTCTCATGCAGTGCTTAGGGAAGAGGGGGCAACACGGTTGTGTAAATTGGGTTGTGAAAAAACTGTATATATAAATTCAAGGCTGTGTTGTGTATACTTTGAAAAATCTATAGAGAAAAATAAAATAAACAAATTTACTTTGAAACTTCAGATCCCTAACCCCCTCCCTCTCTGCAATGTCTGCTTCAACCATGGCTTCTGCTTCAAACATGACTGCTGCCTCAACCATGGCTGCTGCCTCAACCATGGCTGCTGCTTCAACCATGGCTGCTTCTTCAAACATGGCTTCTGCTTCAACCATGGCTTCTGCTTCAAACATGGCTGCTGCTTCAACCATGGTTTCTGCTCCAACCAATTTCGGAATTAACGTGCGGCAGATACACTCCGATCAGCGAAGTTTTCTGGTTTCCGGTGACCAATTTAAAATCTATTTCAGAGTCTTCCTTGGTCTGAGGCGGGAGACACCATTAGTCTGCAGTGCGCCTCAAATCATCAACTGCTCTGCATTTTTTGGAAATGATGGAATAGAGCTTCTGAGGCAATTGATGCTCGATCCTCCTAGAGAGGAGCTTAATACAAAAATTGCTGATACAATTGTAAAAGTAATCCAAGAACGAACCCGCGAGGAATTTGTAGATGGCGGTGATCCTGTGTCCCCGGAGATCATTCCTGTAATGCTGGAAGCATTTCTGCTGAGAGAAGGTGTTCTGCCTTCTTTCCTTTTCTGGTAATGTCCTTCTTTGACAAAGGTGTTCTTTTTTCATTTCTTGGGTATCTTGGTCGGTTAATCTTGAATTGGATTGAACAATGAAATAATCTTGAATTGGATTGAACAAAGAAAGATATATTCCTTTTATGGTGCTTCTTTGACTAGTTCTTTCTTTTTCTTTTTCTTTTTCTTTTTTTTCTTGTTTTCTTGTTTTCTTGTATTGTCTATTCGATGATAGTTATTGCGCATTTTTATAATGTGAAAAACATTGGTTTGGTGCAACAATATTCAATGATAGTTATGCCTCCGGAGGAATAATAGATTGCTAGGCTCTGGCAAATCACTTTGATTTTGATCATCAACCGGGACATGTTGAAGGAACACTTTATTAGTTATTCAACTATCTCATAGCTCTGTATATCATTTAATAGATGAGAAATAACCATTAGCAGTTTAGCGGTGGTTTCATATTGATCTGGCCTGAGTTTCTTGTATGGTAAGTTTGGTTTCAGAAAACATGAAGCTGGAAGAACCATGGTGTGTGTGGCCATTGAGATCATGCCAGTCTTCTGGTAATCATCAATAGATGGTATCTGTCCATTTTTGTACCACTCATGAGCCACGAAACAAAAAGTTTCATACCATTTCACACAAGTGACACTCCCCCATCTTATTAGTCAGTTATAAGATTATATTATAAACTCCACATAAATTTTTATAACTTAATTACTAAATCTAGTAGAATATCTTTTATATCACGAACCCCTCCTTGTTCGAGATATTTTCCAGCAGCTTCGCTCACAAGATTATCAAGAGCATCAAATATAATTTTGCTGTGGCTTCTCAAGCCCCGAGAATCCCATCTATCATATATATATATATGGGTTCATTTAATCTTATGTTGAAGGAGAGATCTTGTCTCATGTTGTGACACATATGTGGCGGGACCCGCCATTTAAAGAAAAAAGAAAAAAAAGAAAAATAAATGTCACGATTTTCGATGAGTGTGTAGGAGATAAAACTACTCTTATGCAACATAAGAGTAGTTTTTCCCTATATATATACAAGGGAAGGGAATGATCGTTTACAAAAAAAATTTAATTTTTTTTACAAATTATATTATATTCTCCCGGGAGAATATAGTGTAGTTTGTAAGAACAAAAAAGTTTGTAAATATAATCTGCCCTATATATATATATATATATATATATATATATATATATAGGGAAAAACATTTTTCCGGCAAATTGAGATAAGTTTATCTCCGGTTATTCAAAAACGACGTCGTTTTGTTTATTTATTTCCTTATATTAATTGATTCACCTATGAATGGTTATGATTCTCTTTTTCTCTCTCTTTCTATATCATCATTGATCCATCTTTGTACGATTATGATTTAGTAGCCGGAGATAAAATTATCTGTGAAACGATAAGCTCATATATATATATAGGATTTTATAATTCTCATTTAACATGAGAATTACAATTTTCCTACACACCCTTCGATTTCCGTGCTGACATGGGTCCCACATACTTTTTATCTCTACAACATGAGATTTCAATTCTCCTTCAACATGAGAATTATAAAACCCATATATATATATAGAAAAATATTTCTACAGCCACTTTAGATAAGTTTATCTACAGCTACCCTTTTATAACTATGTTCTCCCGGAAGAACATAATTATAACATTAAAGTTGCTTTTTTTTCTCTCTCCACGTCAGCAGACAGGTTCTAAAAAGTAAATGAGGAGAAAGAAAAAAAAACAACTTTTAATGTTATAATTATGTTATCCGGTAGAACATAGTTATAAAGGGTAGCTGCAAATAAGCTTATCTAAAGTGGCTGCAGAAATGTTTACTCCTATATATATATATATATATATATATATATATATATATGAGGTAGGATCCTTTGACACCAATGTCAAATTTCAAATTTGACACCTCATCTGATAGTCGTTAGATCAAAAAAGATCAACGACTCTGATTTGTAAGCATGTGAAACCATTAATCTTTTTTTATCTAAGGGCTATCAGATGATGTGTCAAATTTAAAATTTGACACTGGTGTCAAAGGATCCTACCTCCCTCTATATATATATATATATATATATATGGAAAAAAACATTTCTCAACCAGCTTGAGATAAGTTTATCTCCGGCTACCCCAAAACTATGTCGTTTTATTTATTTATTTTCTTATATTAATTAATTCACCTTTGAATGGTTATGATTCTCTTTTTCTCTCTCTTCCTTTATCACCATTGATCCATCTTTGTACGGTTATGATTTAATAGCCAGAGATAAGATTATCTCAAGCAGCTTGAGAAACGACAAGCCCTATATATATATATATATATATATATATATATATATATATATATATATATATATATATATATATATATATATATATATATATAGAGTTACTAAATTGGGTTGAAATTTTGAACTTTTTAAATTATTTTTGTTTGAGAAAGATGGAGAAATGGGGGTGATATATATACTTTCTAATTGCATCAGTGAGGTGTTCCAATTCGTTGAGAGATCCTTCCATGTCAAAGAAATCATCGGCAACTGTGATTATTATAGCACTCTTTGCCACTAACATTCGTACCCAAGAGTGTTGTGGGATGTTAATGGAAGCTGCTATAGCATAGTAACAATAGGTAGTAAAATCTTCTCAATAACTTGTGTGTAGACATGAAGAACTAGTCCATGACATCTGATTTAACCACAATCTCATGAA